TCAGTTATAGGCTTTTCACTGGCAAGCGCTTTCAACTGATTGGGTTTCTGATATGGTGACCCATATTTAAACTTCTCCTTGGTGGACTTACAAGGATCATGTAGATTTTGGAGTTTCATCTCAAATATTGATGCCTGTTTGGAGAATCTGATGTCCTTTTCTTTGCTTAACCCTCTGAAGTACTTGAGCTTGGAAGGAAGATGACAGATTTCCTTGTCTGCAGAGTCCTTGTGAGTTGGTTGGTAAGCACGGTCCATGTAGAATTCTTGCAATGCATCCGAGTTTCCCAGTGCTTCATTCCATTCGTAGATACCATCACTCCTTCTTTGTGTGTATCTATAATTAAGAGAGTCAATCAAATTCTTGTTTGTGGATGTGTTTCTAGGAAGTAAATTTCTTTGACATGACCTAAAATTCTCTGGATTCCCCAGGTTGAATTTCCTATGAAGGTGGTTCCCGTGCTTGCTCTTCTTATTTGCTTCCCTTTGATTTCCCAAGTGAGGCCACTTATGCAGATTCCAGCCATGTTTTGGCATCTGCAACAAATTTATGAAATGTTCTTCAGCACCATCTTTCATCTGAGACAAACAATGCAGCTTGTATTGGGTCCTTCTGCTTCCTTGCTGATCCATTGACATTGAACAAAACAATTTCAATTCCTGGGGTGGCTTTCTCTGGCTCTTATTGGTGGCAGTATTGGGTGCTTCATGAGAAATTCTGGGGCAACATGTCCGCCAGATGGTTCGTGACAGTATCTCTTCACATGCCTGATAGTCTCTTTTAAAGTCTTCCAGTTTTTCATGAGAAAACAGGTGGTGACGGCGGCGCTCAATTAAAGGAGGAACTATCAGTTGCTCCTTCTTGTGCTTCAAGACACGCTTGTACCTGGGTACCCAGTCAGGATGGTTCCCTGGCAGCCTCTGGTCCCCCATGGTCCCCTTCTGGCTCTGAGACCACTGTTCCAGAATCAGTTATTGTTTCCCTGAGGATTCTTGGTTGCTAGGAAACTTTAGATTCTACTTTGATGAGCAAGATGGAGTGCCCAGGCTCCAGTTCCTCCAATTCTATTCTACATCACTTGAACACAATACCCACTACTGATAGACTGGACTTTTGAACCCAACAGGAGCTTAGGAAAATTTCAATTCTTCCACACATTCCAGCGTGTGTTATGGTTAGATCTTTCAGTTTGGGAATATTCTCATATTGGTGCAGTGGTATCTCATCATGGGTTTCTTTTGCCTTTTCATATGGGCAATGGTATTGAACATGTCCATATGCTGACTTATCATTCATATTACTCCACTGGCTAAGGATATATTCAGGTTTTTTTAACCTCTTCCGTTTGTAGTGATTGTAAGGTATATTTCACTGAATTTTGACATTTGATTGTGTTCTGGATTGAAATCTTTTATCAAATACATCACTTGCAAAATTTCTTCTCTCCCCCATCATTTGTCTCTCATTAGTCTGTTTCAAAGAGCAGAGTATCTAACTTTGAAGAAGTTCCCTTCAGCTAGTTGCTCTTTAATAAAGTATTGTTTTAAAATGACATTAAAGAATTTTTTCCTTTGCAAAGTTTACTTGTTTTAGTTTTTTTATGTAGTAATTCATTTCTAGGTTTTGGTCAACTACCTATTGAAATGTAATGTTTTTGGATCATGAAGATAAAGATTAAAGTTTCTTAATTTTTTTTTAACCTGTGGTTGGATGATATCAGAAAAGCTTTTATAGCAAAGAGTAAGCTGTTATTCACTGAATCTACTTTTTAATTTTGCCAAAAGCCAGGTATCTGTGTCTTCTTTGTGATATCATGATTTTTTTAGTCTTTGCTGCAAGCAGTTCTCCCATGTTGCTTTCCTATAGTTTTGCAGCCTTGAAATGGGGCTGTTAATTTATTCAACTGTTGTTATTCTTTCCAAAGTTTTTGATACTGTTGTTTCTGCTGGAACCTTTGAATTTATGTGAGACCTTTTAGCACTGTTTACTTAATGTCTGCAAAGGATCCCATTTTGATTTTGATGAGGGTTCTGTCGATTAGATAGACTGATAAGGACAATTGATATGTTAACTGTTTTGGATCTTCTGACCTATGAAACAGACACATCTCTATTAGTATATATCTTTTTCTACTTTTGTTAACAGTATTTTGTCATTTTTCTCATATATCTAGCACTTATGGTTTCCTTTTGCTTTTCCTTAAATATTCCACATCTATGGTACAATGAGTTGTGTTGAGAAACTGTTTGTATGGAGGGAAAAGTTATTCCACTGAAGCTCATGTTTTTGAGTTATGAATTTTCCCCTGTGTGTGGGAAGAACATGGCATCATTCAACTATATAGCCCAAACAGGATTGGAACTCCTTATGTAGCTAAGCTGGCCTCAATCAATGCAACCTCTGTGGTGATATATTGTGTCCCCCACTAAAGCTTGCTTGGGGATAAGAGGACAGAGCGAGCCACGGTGACCTACAGGGATCCACCTGCCTCTGCCTCCCAAGTGCTGGGATTAAAAGCATGTACCACCACCACCTGAGTATAAGAGGACAGAGCCAGCCACTAAATTTGATATAGAGGTCAGGCAGTGGTGGCACACACCTTTAATCCTATCACTGCGGAGGCAGAGAACCATCTGGATCCCTGTGAATTCAAGGCCACACTGGGCTACATGAGAGAAACAGAACCTGGCAGTGGTGACACACACCATTAATGCCAGGACGTATGTGGCAGGACACAGAAAGATACATTAGGTATGAGGAAACAGGAACTCACTCTCTTTAGAGGATTTCATAAGGTAAGAACTTGTGGTTGGCTTGTTCTGCTTCTCTGTTCTTTCAGGTTTCACCCCAATATCTGACTCTGTTTTTTTTTTTATTAATAAGACCATTTAGCAATTCATGTTACAAATGTCTTCCTTCAGGCTCCTGTTGTAGGACGATCTTTCTGTACATTATGAATATGCATTGCTACTATTGGTTAATAAAAAGCTGCTACAGCCTACGGCAAGGCAGAATAGAATCAAGCTGGAAATCCAAGCATGGATGCAAGGAGAAGAAGGGCAGAGCTAGGGAGTCATTCACAGCTTCCGCCAGGAGAAGCAAGATGTGAGAGAACAGGTAATGCCACAAAGCCACATGGCAAAACATAGATTAATAGGAAGGAGTTGAGTTAAGTTCTAAGAGCTAGCTAGGAAGAAGCCTGAGCCATAGACCAAACAGTCTGTAATTAATATAAGCCTCTGAATGTTTATTTGGGACCAATCAGCTGTGGGACCAGGCAGGATAGAAACTTCTGCCTACAGCCTCCTGAAAAGTGGCTAAGCTTCACAATATGTAGACTGTGTAGGTTTTTATCTGTATTAAACTCTCTGTTAATTGCTAGTAGTGCTTTGAGCAGGTGATTCTACTACTTTTTGACTTGTAATGATTTTGGTGGGTAGTCTGATGATACTCTTCATTTTGTTTCCCTTTTTATCAAAGCTGCTCTTTTCTGTGGTTGACCAGGCATGGTGTGGATACCATGACATCTGCCATTTCTACATGGTGTTTTTTATAGATCAAGTTACTTATCTGATTATTTTTAACTTAGAGACAGCACAGGTATGTCTTGAACTTTTTTGTTTTGATTTGTTTTTCAAGACAGGGTTTCTCTGTGTAACAGTCCTGTCTGTACTGGAACTCTCTTTGTAGACCACGCTGACCTACAGGGATCCACCTGCCTCTGCCTCCCGAGCGCTGGGATTAAAGGCATGTATCACCACCACCTGGATTGCACTTTTTGTAACAAGACAGTAAATTGAGACATTTGTGGGACTCTTCATTTATTTATATTTATTTTCTGTTTTAATAAGTATCAATCTCTGATGCCTGATAACCAGTGGTTGCAAAATATTGTTCTATGCATTTCCCCCATTTTTGTTACATGAATTAAGAAATCTAGTCTTTTTTATTTGATTGTGCTGAGAAAAGGAATTGTAACTTACTTTTATCAGCCTGTTACCACTAATTCAGTGAAGTTGCTTTGAAGTGACTAAGATAACACAATCCTGTTCTGACTACATTTTGTGTTTTCCTTGGACAGTTCTCAGCCCCAATCCCCATCCACAATGGTCATGGTCTGCTTTGACAGCACATTTGGCATTTCCATCATCTTTACCATGCTCCCAATGTATTAACAAAAGTAATTAAAGTAAAATAAAATAACTAAAGAAGATAATGAATAAAAAAATAGTTGACATGTTTGTTGCATCTAAAATAATTACTAAGCTCTGTCAGGAAAGAAGATTTCAAGGTAACTCTGACCATCATCTAACTTTGAAGTAAATCATGATCTTTGTGGACTTTGCTTTAAGAGCTCTGTATCATTGCCTAGGCTTGGGTACCAAGAGACTGATTTTTCAGAGACACAAGCCCCCTCTTTATCTATTCATCAATAAAAAGATCTTAAAACTTTTGATTGGCATAATCAGCATGGTTGTCAATAATTATTTCACTTGCATTATTTCATTGGTGGTCCCAGAGAGATCTCACACTCCATGAGACTCAGCCTTGTTCCTAGCCTTCTCCAACAGGGAGAGGTTGCAGGGAGGAGCCTTCTGATAAATGTTCCAGGGTTCCACTCTTACTGAGTCCAGAGATGTCTGGAACGACAGCTGTGTTTTTTCTTTTTTTTTTTTCAATTTTTAAATTTAATATTTTATTTAAAGTTTCATATATTTTTCTCTTTATAAAGAAAATTTTATTAATTTTTCATATCAACCACAGATTGCTCTCTCATCCCTCCACCAGCTCCCCCTCTCAGTGGGATCAGGATTTTCCTAAGCTTCTGTTGGGTTCAAAAGTCCAGTCTATCAGTAGTGGGTATTGTGTTCAAGTGATGTAGAATAGAATTGGAGGAACTGGAGCCTGGGCACTCCATCTTGCTCATCAAAGTAGAATCTAAAGTTTCCTAGCAACCAAGAATCCTCAGGGAAACAATAACTGATTCTGGAACAGTGGTCTCAGAGCCAGAAGGGGACCATGGGGGACCAGAGGCTGCCAGGGAACCATCCTGACTGGGTACCCAGGTACAAGCGTGTCTTGAAGCACAAGAAGGAGCAACTGATAGTTCCTCCTTTAATTGAGCGCCGCCGTCACCACCTGTTTTCTCATGAAAAACTGGAAGACTTTAAAAGAGACTATCAGGCATGTGAAGAGATACTGTCACGAACCATCTGGCGGACATGTTGCCCCAGAATTTCTCATGAAGCACCCAATACTGCCACCAATAAGAGCCAGAGAAAGCCACCCCAGGAATTGAAATTGTTTTGTTCAATGTCAATGGATCAGCAAGGAAGCAGAAGGACCCAATACAAGCTGCATTGTTTGTCTCAGATGAAAGATGGTGCTGAAGAACATTTCATAAATTTGTTGCAGATGCCAAAACATGGCTGGAATCTGCATAAGTGGCCTCACTTGGGAAATCAAAGGGAAGCAAATAAGAAGAGCAAGCACGGGAACCACCTTCATAGGAAATTCAACCTGGGGAATCCAGAGAATTTTAGGTCATGTCAAAGAAATTTACTTCCTAGAAACACATCCACAAACAAGAATTTGATTGACTCTCTTAATTATAGATACACACAAAGAAGGAGTGATGGTATCTACGAATGGAATGAAGCACTGGGAAACTCGGATGCATTGCAAGAATTCTACATGGACCGTGCTTACCAACCAACTCACAAGGACTCTGCAGACAAGGAAATCTGTCATCTTCCTTCCAAGCTCAAGTACTTCAGAGGGTTAAGCAAAGAAAAGGACATCAGATTCTCCAAACAGGCATCAATATTTGAGATGAAACTCCAAAATCTACATGATCCTTGTAAGTCCACCAAGGAGAAGTTTAAATATGGGTCACCATATCAGAAACCCAATCAGTTGAAAGCGCTTGCCAGTGAAAAGCCTATAACTGACCCCAAGAGTTTGCTTGAATTTCAAGGTAGAAGCCTTTGCAAACCAGATGTACTTGAAAATATCTATGGAATAATTGCCTTTAAGGACTTCATTATACACAAGGGCTATGATATGCCAGGCATTCTCAGGAAGTTTTTTATGAAGAAAGGATGGAGCTACAACTCTGTTAATACTCCTCTACCAAGCATATTAAAACATCATGAACTGATAATGCAAAAACAGGATGATGAAGATGATGAGGGAGAAACGGAGAAGGAACTTCACTAAAAGATTTTCCTATCACCACCTACTTGACTGAGACCCACTCTCAATTTTGCATTTGAGATGTACTGGGGGGCCACCCTCTGCCACCGCAAGCACAATTTAACACCTAACATTCAGAAACATTTCCCAATCAAGTTATGCTGTGCCTTCACCATTATTTTTGGTATCATAATGTGAAACCAAGGTTAAATATATTTTTCCACATATTTTTTTCATTGACCCTCCTTATATCAGTCATTTGTAAAACTACCTAAAACCATTGATTAAAAACAGGATTACTCTGAATTAAAAGACTCAGTGGTATTATTTGCAGCATGGGTAAATCTCAAAATACTGTAATTGTGCTGAATGAAAGGAAACACACCTGCGCTAGCTCCTCTAAGTTTCAATATTAATGAAATAATTATAGACATTATCTTTCTCATCCTATCTTGAATTCTACAGCTAAAGTGATGGGCAGCTATTTTCATTCCTTATTTTCATTCCTTGCACACCACAGCATTTATTCTTCCAAGATGGGAACTTTCCTCAATGATTTTAATGTCAAGTAACTTTAGTTCTTTTAGGAACAATTTACTGGTTGTGGGTAAAGCACATCTTCAAAGAATGCATATTTTAATTTATTCTATCTGCACGTGTATGCTGATAAGATTTAATATTTAATATTTTCAAGAATAAACCTCTAACTCACACAGGGTCTGTAGATATTCATTACAGACCCCTTTGGTGCCTTTTATTCCTTTGATTCTTTTGTGCAGAACGTGTTATGCTGAATGCGCTGATTTGTTTTTCTTTTGCCTTTAGCCTGTACTTGTTGTGGAATATTAGTTTAAGATGTGTTATGTTCATTTATCCTGTGGAATATTTGTTTAATGATGCAAACATGTGTTGCGTACTTGTATGTTGCATTTGTTTAACTCTGTAAAGCTGTGCCTTTCTATGGAAATCAACACTCCTGTTCTGCTTTCTCCCCACTCTAAGTCCTGGCATTTAAATAATGTCATCATCAGGCGCCAACACTCATTTCTGGTGCTGCCTCAGAGCTGCCTGAGGCCTCTCTGTTTTACTCTACTGAGGTTCTTCCTGTCTTCCAAGGGACTCCGGGCCAGGGGTCTTTTCCCTTCCCACCTTGCCTGGCACTCTAAGCATGTGCAGGAGCTGCTGAGACTGTCATGGTGTTCAAGTGCCCACCATGGCTAAAGCACCCTTGCAAGTGCTACAGAACCATGACCATGTCCTTGAGAATGCTGTCAACACCCATATCCAGCTCCAGCTCCAAGCCTCCTATGTGTACTTGTTTATGGCCTTCTACTTTGACCGTGATGATATGGCCCTGGGAAACTTCAAGGGCTTCTCCCTTAGCAAGTCACACAACTGCAAGTCAGGTGCTGAGATGTTCATGTTCCTGCAGAATAAGCATGAAGGCTGCATTTTCTTTTTAGGGTCATCCAGAACATGGAATGCTCCTTCCACATGGAGGTGTCTATAGGCCAGATCATGCTGAACCTTCGTGAACTGGGAGAAGTGACATTTACCTCTGTGACTTCCTGTAGCAACACTATCTAGTTGAGCAGGTCCAAGCTGTGAAGGAGGTGAGCAGCTACCTGTCCAATATGTGCCAGATTGGGCCCCAGAAGACCACTTGATTGAGTACATCTTTGACAAGCTCAGCCTGTCATAAAGTCCCCATGGACAGTACTGGGATGTCTCAGTGTAGTGGGGTCTTCCTCTCCTCATTCGCCTTATGTTCACATTGCTTTTGTAGCAAATTCAGTCATTTTTCTTTTTCTTTTTTTTTTTTGTTTAAATATTGTTTGTAATAACTTCTTTGTTACATAGCAAAATTAAAGTGTCAAGTTGATGTATGCAAAACTCTTACCAGTAGGGACTGGGCATGTAGCTCAGTTGTTAGAGTCCTTGTCTAGCATTCAGGAAACCCTGTAATGTATCCCAAGCATGACATTAAAACAGTGATGACACACACTTGAAATCACAGCACCATGGAGACGGATGCAAGGAATGTTCAAGCTCGTTTACAACTTTATAGCAAGGTAGAGGACCTCCTGAGCTACATGAGACTCTCAAACATCAACAAAAATATCCTCTCATCTTAAAAAAACTAATGTGTATCTCATGGAAGTTTTAAAATTGATGTCCAGGAATATCTATCCATAGTCATCTCCCATTATTTTGCAGCTTTATCTATCCAGGGTGAAAGAGAATGGCAATCGTATAGCCTGTGGAAAAGTTCGAATTACCCCTTTGTCATTATTTATGTGTGCATGAGGCTTATAGTATATGGTTTTGTGTGAGGGGTTGGGTAGTCAGGACACTTTTGTCTGTGCATGTTAACTATGTAAGCAGTTGGTGCCAGTGGGACAAAAGATAAGGAAATGAGATGGGGAATCTAAGTAAGGCATAGTGAAACCACCAGAAAAGACCACTCTGTAGGCAAAAACAATTCATTGGGGATAAACTGTCCTATGTGAGTAGAAAGTACTAGTTCAGTGGGGAGGCAGGAAGATTTTGTACAGTAATTAACGAGGTGGGGGTTCAGGATGAAAGATGCTGTCAGCGTTAATCAGGAACTGGCTAGATGAACTTTACCTGCAGTAGTTGGCTGTTAGGGCAGATCAGGGAGATCACATATTTTGTTTCTTGCTTAGTTTTTTTTTTTTTTCAAAATAAGTGGAAGCTCACCTCATGTGATTTCTGAAAAATGCTCAGTTTAGGTTTCTGCTTCCCAGCTAGAACTGGTTCCCGTGGGACCCAGGCTACTATCTTAGGGCATTGTCACCAGCACTGCCATGTGGTGGCCTGCTTTATGACCCAACATGGAAAATTTTATAATACAAGGTCTCAGGATGTGTGCAGGTAACTTACTGACAGAGCACTTTAGTAGCCTGTGGGTTCCAAAGCTTTCCCCAGAATTTAAAAAAAAAAAAGCATCTCAGATTTATCAGAAAACTTAGTAACATATATGAAAGTTAGTGCTTCTTGAGTCTAGTTAGCAAAAAAAAAAAAAGTTTGTAGAAGCTATTATGACACAGACCATACTGATTGGTTCACTCTGGCCTGAAATGATGATGAAATGGGTCTTCATCTTGGCTTCCTCATAGCCACACAGTGACTATTGTCACTGAAGACCAGGGAGAGAGACCCATATCACTTTTATAACATATACTTTTCCAATTTTCCCAAATATGGTATTTCAGCCACTGAAGTTACTTAATACTAAAATAATACATCAATCATGTAAAAAGAATGATAGACCATGAGGCCATGAATACAAGTCATATTGGAGACATGGAACATAAAGTTTTAAAAAGCCTCAAGTGTTAAATTCCACGAGATACATACTTTGAATAAAGTAGATGTGGGCAGAGTTGAAGATTAAGATTAGTCATACGGTTATAAAAGGTGATATACTAGATTTGTTTATAGTATCAAAGGGGAAATACTGCTACAGTGGTCACCTGTAGGTTGAAGAGCTAAGGTTATCAGTAGCTTTGCAATAGTAGTAGATGGGAGACAGAAAAAAAAAGAAACAAAAACCAGAGAGGCAGCTACAAATAAATCACCCTCTTGAGCAGAGTCCAAAATGTGTAGATGTTAGTTACAGTCTTCAGAGTTTTGTTTCATCTACAGTCCCAGCCTATCTGATGGTGCTTTCCATACTCAAGGCAGTTCATTCCCACTAAGTGTGATTACCCTCATGCTAACCTTCTTGGGAAAAGCCTCAAGAACACACGAACACACCAAATCTGTGCTTACAGATTTTGCAGGTGTTTCTCAAGCCATGCCATTGAAGTCAACTTTAACCATCAGAGAGCCACTGTATCCTATACAGCTGAGATACTGGAGTAACTTGAAATATAATGTGGGATGTAGAAATAGAGATATGATATATTCCAGGTGCAATTCATACAAGGCAAAAAAAGATTTGCTACATTAGGACAATAATAAACTGTGGTGTGGGAAGTTAATATAGTTCTGGGGGTTCATCTGTATATGGCTTGGTAGTGAGGCTGTTGTTCATGAAGTTGAGAATGTTTGTAATAGAGCCCTGAGATGGTGATAAGACCATGCCCTGTAAATCTGATGTTATTAAAACATAAAAATGGAACTGTAGTACAGAGGCTTGAAAAAAAGAATCAGATCAGAAACTGTCTTTGTCCCCTGGAACTAAACTTCACCAAATTGTACCACTGTAGCTGGTTGTAGCAAAGTTAGAAGCATTCTAATCATGTATTATTGAAAGACAATCCATATCACCATCTTTCTACCAGTTTCTAAACAATTTGTAATATTTATAAGACAAACCTGAAAGTGGAGTGCAATGTTCAGAACTTCTAGACACCAGACCTTCAATTTTCCAATCTGTCTTCCTACTACACACTAAAACTGGGCCATGTGTGCACACTGGAATGTGATATTGCAAGCATCATATCTTTCTATGCCAGGGCTGCAGAGTCTCCACATACTCAGGAAATCCATACACAGGAAGGCTCAAAGGACAAGGACTAGACAGTTTCTGATCTGCAGAGATTTCTCAGGTGTGCCTGGTGTTGGGTGGGTGGATATGGCAGAATCCACAGCTTGTGACATAATCCATGTGACAGGAAGGATTCATAACTACTAAGAAGCCTTTGTATTATGATTAAAATTTAAAAAAAGAAAAGAAAGAATCAACAACAACTCTTTACAGAAGTCTAGGTAGATTGTTAGGTTTTGAAATAGACATATGGACATTTGAAATTGATACTACTGAAGTCATGTAATTGGACAAACTAACCAGAAAGATCACATTGAGAAACTCCATCTCCAAGCCCAGGACTACCGACATTTAGCAGAAGGTTCACATACTGGAACACTGTGAGAGCTGCTGCCCCAACCTTGATCATTACCTTTTTACACTCTGAGTATCTAGTGTCTGCTCTAAGTTTATCTCAAAATCACCTGTTCATTTCAGGCTCAGAGTGACCTCTGGCATCTCTTTTCAATGTGTGGGGAGTGTCTTTCTTTTAATCTAAATGACAGTGGGTAGGAAAAAATAATTTCCCAGTAATAAAAAGCTGTTTCTCCAAGTTTTTGGTTTTTTTTGTTTGTTTTGTTTTTTTGGGGTTTTTGTTGTTGTTGTTGTTGTTCTGCTCCTTTTCAAATACCTTCTCTACTCTCTATCAAAGAAAGTACATACACCTTCACCAGCCCAATCTGGTGTCAGGATAGGCAAAGAAAGATGGAGGTGGAAATTACTACTCATTCTTTCTTTGAG